CGGGGCATCTTTAGATAAACTCAAGACGGTCTTGAACGTAAGATCTGACTATGAATACCGGTCTAAAGCCGGTACATTTATTCGTTCATAGCACGATACGAGGTAGAATAATTGGCGTAAAACACGAGCGTCTACCGCGTTTTCCTTTTAATGCGCGAAAGGTGCACGGAAAGTGCAGCGCCACGAGCAACAGGTGTAGCAATGGCGCGAAGGCCGCGAAGTTGCTCGCGCGGCTTACAAATTCCTTCTTTGTGTTACTCGCAAGACATAGCGAGCAGACTGTCGTTTCGTGCTGGCGTGTTGATCTACCGACGAATAGATCATCCAGCTAGCCTTCTGTGTCGTAAGAGGCGACTAATGGTGCCCAGAGGACAAGTAGCTGTAAAGGCAGAGTAAAGAGAAGATAAGAAGAGGATCCCTCAGCCATCTTTTTCTAACGACACAGTCAAATACGATTTATGCGCTTGTAATTCTTTTTATTAGCTTTTATGCACAAAATAATACCAGGATATAAAGTTACGGGCCTCATAGCAGAATATTTTCATACTTATAATAAAACACTCAGTTCAGCCCTTACGGAAAAGCACCGAAATAATTATTAGAAAATTACCGTACATCAGTAATTTCTGATAGTTCAATTACTGATATACAGTAATTTTCTAGTAATTATTTCGTTACTTTTTCGTAAGGGAGAAGTCTAATAAAAAAGAAAATTTCAATTCGTAGTTCTAACTAAATTTGAAATTGGCTTTTTAAAATTGCAAAATTCTTCCACACAATTAAAGGAAACGCATAAAAAGAAAACCAGGGACAGTCGACTTTATATTTAAAAAATGAAGAGAAATAAAAAAACCACTTTATAAATGAAGTTAGCTAATTTCAAAAAGATGGCTGCAGGACTTCGCCGATGGTTGAGGGATCCTCTTAGGGATCTTTTTCTCTAGCGTAAACTCGTGAAAAGCGAAACATTTCATTAACAAATTAAATATTTGTCAATAAAAATTTTTACTTTTCACGAGTTTACGTTTGAGGAAAAGATTCATGATAAGGGACTCATTGTCAGTGGGTGTCTACGGCGTTGCCGTAAAGGGAGAATTAAAAAAAAATGTTTCGTGCGCAATATTTTTTCGCGTTATTCTCTTATCGTAAAGTGAGTGTCGCGTGCGGTTAATGTCGGTAGCGCTAAAATGTCATGCGTCCGCGATTAAACGAGCATGTATTCGCGAGTGAGAGCTGTGCGTGTACCATGAAGCTTTTCAGCGGAGACAAGAAGAGAGGGGAAAGAAGCCGCGGGAAGTGCTGGTTGGCAGCGAATCAATCGTGGCGTAATTATTATTCATTTGAATTATTAGTAGCATAATTATTATATAAAGCACCTGATATCGTATAATATTTTATTTGTCGTACGACAAATTTTTAAGCGTATCGATTGATGGTAGGATAGGAAAGTTCCCAAGTCTTTAGAAAGTTTTCATTTCGTAGTCAATCAATATGTTTAATAAGTTTGTCGTACTTTTATGTAGTGTCACCTTAATATCGTAATAGGGCAATATATCATCAAGTAAGCCCTGCGCTCTGTTAAAAATAGAGGAATTAGTTCTCTCAACTTTGGAAAGATTGGTATTTTCGGTGTCATTCATAGAGATATAAGAACTCTATTCTTATATCTATAACTCTATTCTTATATCTCTATGGTGTCATAGGATGAGAAGTGTTTTTCTCCAACTTATATTGGCCAAAAGAGAGAAGGCGTCTTACAATATTGGACCAATATTAGGAATACTAGATTTACAGTATTTCCCAATATTGCGCCAATATGTATAACACTGTATCTCTGTAAACTGTGCAGCGCCGTGAGCAAAAGAAGAAAGAACTAAAGAGTAACAAAGCTAGAGAGCTTAAGAACTTATAGAATGAAAATTTTCTTATAGGTGCTGTATATCAATTCACAAACACACACGCATTGTGTTTTAGTCAAACTATACGCAAGACACTCTGTACTATCTGAAGCGTAAAGGTATATGTTAAGCTTCACACCAGAGTAACACTTTATTCTATTGCACATGCGCTTACAAAGAGAGGTGAAACACCAAAAAATGTGCTTTATATACTAAATATTATGACACACACAATTTATTTTTTATTATCCATTATTCTTAATGGGATATAATGTTACAACGTTAGAGGTATAGAAGTGGCTATAGTTCTTTTTCGACGAGTCACGCATTTTCTTCTGTTATTATCTTATCTCCCTTTTTACCTGTGGATTTGTACATGTGGATGTAAGCATTATAAAAAATTTCTAATTTTTAACTTAATTCCATATAATATACAGGTGTTACATAAATATTGAAGAAGGGAAAAATAAGTACCACAATGGTATGGAAGAAAAATTTTTCTATAGACGACTCGCGCTCAGTATTATTTCAGCTGTCGTTTGAAATGGAATATCCTGAAGATCAGTATTACAGACTGAATCGTGTTTATTTATCAGCAATTGGTCTTTGGCCATATAATAACTTCAAAATCAGATGTATCCGTTTCATTACACTGTTAATTCTTGTATCAATGCCTGGTGTCCAGGTATTTATATTATTTGTAATCTATTTATAATTTTATGACATACAGTCTTGTTTATTAATGCCTGTACCTCAGTTTTACTAGCATTCTCATTTTCATAATCTTTATTCTCATATGTACATCGATGAATTTCACACTGTAGTTTACACAGCTTTTATAGAAGTCTGTGGTAGTATGTACATGCAGCCTGAAACTTAGTGATTTGTATAAACGAAAAAAATGATAAAAATCTAGGCCAGCCATTAAAGAATAAGACTGTACATGTCTAATCTTCAATTTTGCGACTTTAGTGCAATAGAGTTTTGCTAATAATTTAAATACTGCAAATTTCTTCTGTATCTTGTACTTCTCTTTTACTCTCGGTATTTTAATGACACCGTGTTCTATTAATTTAAGTGTTCTAATATCATATATTGTTGGGATTTTATTACTTACTATAATCATTTCAGTGGACAAAATTATATGTCTCAGAATGTACTTATGATCTTGTTATAAAGATATTATCTTATAATATTGGTCTCATAACATGTTGTATAAAGTACATCTCATTTTGTGCTGTTATGAAAAAGGTACGTTCATGAGCAACTAACTGAATAATAAACCACCATATACAATAATACTTGAATTATATTCACCAGTAGGTTAAAGAATTCCAGGGACGCATTCGAAGTAATTGGCTTGCTTTGAAAGATAATAAAGAAATCGAGATTATAAATAAGCATGGAATCTATGGAAAATTAATAACAATATCTATAATCAGTAAATATTAAATAAACATTTAATTAATAATTTTTGATAGAAGCAGTTGTTTATAATGAATAGTGCCAAAATTATTGTATAATAATTCTTGAATAGTTTAAACTTTAAATGTAAGTCGATCATTTTGCGCGATTTCTGGCTCAAAAAACTCAGTTAGATCCAGAATATACTGAGTTATCAATCATATTCTATTATGATAACCGATTATCTTATTTCTAAAACACATATTGCACATTAAATTGAAAATACAAAATTTTTAAATCTTATTAAATTTAAGTTAAATCAGTATAATAACTGACATAACAAATATAATTTGGGCATTTGTATAAAGGTAATGTAGAGAATTGATTAAATAATTATTATAATACAATATAATATTACATAAATGAAAAATTTAATGGTACTGTAATTATTTTAGTATTCGCATACAGCTCAATTACAACCTTCATTCTTCTTCAATATACCTCAATCTTCTTGGATATTATAATACCTTTAAATATATCTCGTCCGCTCAAACCAATAATACCCGTGGAATATTTGGTTGACCATGAAAAATATTTTTATATCATAACAATACATATAAGTATTGGATGTGTTTTTATGATGTCTTGTTTTGTAGCTACTGAATCATTTACACTAGTAAACTCAATACATGCTTTCGGGTTATTTAAAGTTGCCAGGTAAATAAATTATTACGTTTTACATATTATTTCTGTTTCTTAGCTTATTCACATTTCTATTGATTTCATGTATGATTATATATTTCAAATTAATACTATATTTCTTCAGTCAGTATTTTAATTAACATTTTTTCTGTTTTCGCTTATTATATACAATATTTTATTAAAGTAATAATTAATAACCATTCATAAAATATTTTATTTATTAGCTTTGAAGGAATTATTTGCATAACTTTTATTTTATTTGTTTCTACACTCACGGGAATTGGAAAATGAACACTACGAAGGACTCTGGACTCTGATCAAGACCATAGTATACGACACTATACGATGATGACACCAAAGGACAGTGTATGTCATCATTAATAGTGCAAGGTCGTACGGTAACACCATAGTCACCATGGGACAGCCCTCTGGTATCGTTATCGTATACTACGGTTTTGATCAAGAGAGTTCTTCACAATGTCCTTTCTTCAATTTCTGTGAGTGTGTTATTTATTTGCAACATGAAATTAATACTTATAAAAGTATTGTCAATAATGATGTACTACTTTAATACATATCATTCATGGTATACTATGTTATATGTATACATCAATTTAACATCTAAATCCTTATAGTTATCGTATGAAACACGTATTAAATGGAATTAATCCGCACATGTGTGTAACTAAAAACCAAAACATTTCTCAACATAGAATAATCGCTGCGGTGGATTTCCATAGAAGAGCAATCGAGTTAGTATCTTTTGCAATAAGCTGTTAAATTATTAAGTTAAGTTAAATTTGTCATCAACAGATCAATACAATATTCATTTCGAATTGTAATGGAAGTATATTCATGGATGTATTAATAAACTCATTTTAATTATATCTTAAAATAATGATTCAAAAAATTATACATTTTAACTGTTGAAGGAATAATAACATAAAATATTTTATTTTATTATAAGATTTTCTGATTTATTAAAAGTAACTTTTGGATCATCATATTTAATCATATTAGTGTGTGTGGTGTGTTCCATGAGCATCAATATTTTTTACGTGAGTAATTACATACAAGGTGCTCAAAAAAGGTGGAGACTCCTGTATAACTCTGAAAATATGTAAGATAGATGCCGGCGGTACTGTAACTTTCAATCCCCATAACTCGGAAAGTACTGAATGAAGAAGCATTTAATTAATTTTGAAAAGCTCTCGAGGTAAGCTACAAGAATGTGCAATTAAAAATGGGAGTTTCTATTAAAAATTTTCAAGGTGATCTTTACGTGACCTTGACAATGCTCTTCAAGGTCATACTGGTATTACTGCGTATTATTTAAAATACTGCAACTCTTGTCTGAAACATTTTTTTCTATCTTGCATATTTTCGGAGGTATTCAGGGGTCTCCGCCTTTTTTGAACACCCTGTATAAAGCATGTCGTATTTAATTGCAATTTTTTACACATTTTTCGAAAGAATCCATTATATTATACATATATCATAAGTTTTTTTATATAAATAATGCGCCGTTGCTTGTAGATAATTCAGATAATAGTAACGAACAGAAACATTGTGGAAATTATAAAATCTAGTAGTGTAATAGGCTTATATATATTATATATGACAGCGTCAAATTTTACTGGGCAAGAATTTATAAATTGTGATATACATTTCTATCGTATGATGTAAGTTAATTACAACCGCAATTATACAGGGCGTCTGATGCAAAAGTAGCGGTAATTATTTAGATTAGGACACCCACCTCCAATAACCTGGGCTTGACATATATTGTAGAGGTCACCCACCTGAGTGACCTGCAAAAGATTTTAGCCTGCGGACGTTGTGTGTTAAAAAGTTATTAAAAAAACAATGTCGACCAATTATATGTAATTTTCAGACACAAATATTAAAAATTTTGAAAAATGTTTTAAACAAAAGTTGTAGATCTCTTTGAAATATACATTTTATGTTCTATTCATTTTTACTGTGCGAGTAATAGTTTTCGAAAAAAATGATGGACACTAAATCTTTTTTATATCTCTCCTCCCATCTCCATCTGTCGTACGTCATGGAAGTACATGCATGGAGACAGTATGTTCCGCCCCCCCCCTACGGGGGGGGCTCCACCTCGTTAAAATATAACCCTATCCAAACTATGTCCGAGGTGTGGAGTGGATCTCGCTTCACGTGGAAAGTCGCAAATGTGGAACAGTACAACGGCGGAAGTACATGCGTGGAGACAGTATGTTCCGCCCCCCTGCGGGGGGTCTCCACTTTGTTAAGATATAACCTAACCTAACCCAAACTATGTCCGAGGTGAGTCCGGCCTACCGTATTCTGCATCCTCATTTGCTCAGACGTGTAAATTTATTACTCGATGACTATTGTTACTTTTGTACCGCGGCACATGATATTTCTCCTTAGTTTAACCCAATCTACCACTATTTTCAAGTTGGCTACTTTTGCATCAGACACCCTGTATATTTTCACAATATTTTATCGCTTTTTCAGTCATATACAGGGTGTCGGATTCGATTTGGACGACTCCAAAGATTATAGTAGATTGGGTCAAGCTGAGAAGAAAAGTTATATACCATTTTACAAAATCCGTAATTATTATCGCGTAATTAAGAAAAACGTCTGAGCCAATAAGTGCACGGAGGAGCGGAAGGCCAGACTCGGCAGATATGCAAAATGGTGTGTTTGTTGACATCTCTCAAGAATCGATAGCGAGAGGTGGAGTCACGCATCGATCGATGAGAGACGGGGGCGAGCGGGGAGCGGTGAGCGGGCGAACGGCGCGCAGCGAGAGAACGCGCGACATATGACACCGCGCCGAAAAAGTTTTTCTGGTGGTAGGAGAATAATACACCATTTTGCATGT